TGCATGTTTCAGTGGGTATGTTGAGACTGAGGCTAGGAAGAAAGGCCTGGCAGTCTCCAAGTGCCAGCCAATGAAAACCCTACATGTCCTGCAGTCAGACACAACGATGGTGCAAGTGAGGGCACGCTCTGCTCCATCCGTGGCAGCCAACAACCTCCACTGCCTACGAGGCCCTGCGCGACACTCAAACCAGGAGTGGTCCACATGGCCATGAAGGTCCACCCCTCACAGTACAGGTAAGGGGCAGGCGATGTCAGAGGGCTTGGGTAACAGGACCAAGGTTGCACTGATTAGTGCCTGTGCCCCGCACCACCCTCAAAAACCCCGTTTTCTTCACTCCAGGGCTGGTACCCTTTTCTCTGAACTGGCCGGTCCGTCACCGTCGCTGCCTTCAGCTGTCACAGTCGCAGTGTGTCTGTGGGGATGGGGGAGTGCAGGGTGGAGTAGTGGACGTCAAAACACGTCTGGGAAAATGGAATGAGGAGACACTGGGAGTTTCCCACGCACGTTTGGAAGTCCCCTGCATGTGCCACAGCGAAGTGGTCGGCTTGGAAGGAATGCTTCCGAGTCATTTAAACACCGAAGCCCGGCAGCTCGTGAGCCACCATCAGTGATCCAGATGAGCTGCCCTGGTGGATCCAGTTTCCGAGGAAACATCGCTAGCCTCCCGTTAGCATGGCCAGCGTGCTCCCTAGAGGCAGATACAGCGAGACTTTGTCTCATGGACTTTTCACATCAGGGGAAACCAGTCCTTGGGGAAGGACGCGAGGCTCGGCCAAGTGGAGAAGCAGCGAGAGAAGCGGAAGGCCCTCACGGAGATGGGTGGACACAGGGCTTCAGCGATGGGCTCCCACCTGAGGACAATGGCGAAGATGGAGCAGGACCAGGCCGTGTGTCCTGTTGTGCATCGGGTCTCTGAGTGGCACTGACTCGGCAGCAATAGGAGTCCCAGGGTGCAGCGGGTCAAGTGTTGGGCTGCCAACTTTAAGAGTGTCTGTTCGAACCTACCCGCTGCTCCTCGGGAGAAAGATGAGGTCGCTTGCTCCTGCAAAAAAAACCCCACAAAACCCTGTCGAAAACTCGGGTGCAGTTCCACTCCACCCTACAGTCACGGCTGCAAACCGGATGCAGCAGTTCTCAGCTGCCACCCGCGGGGGTCTTCATGGACTGGAACGGACCTGGTGGCTTCTGGGTTCGTTTGTGTGGTTGGGCGACACAGTTGTAAAGAGCCCTAGTGGAGGAGTGGGAGTTCGAACCCACCCACCCACCACACCACAGCAGACCGAAGTGTAGGGATGCCAGCCTGGGAAGACACATGGGCAGTTCTCCTTTGCCCTCCAGGGGGCCCCATTGAGTCAGCATCAGCTCAATGGCCATGAGTAGTCCGGGTTGTATTTGGAGGGCCTTCCCAAACCAGCAGGAGTCCTAGCACTGTAGTGGTTACAAGTTGGGCTGCTGAGGGCAACCTTATCAGTTCAAAACCACCAGCCTCCCCGAAGGAGAAAGATGAGGCTTTTTACTTCTGTAAGGAATTACAGTCTCTGAAACCCACAGGGGTGGTTCTACCCTGTCCTTTGGGGTCGCTATGAGCCAGAATCAACTGGATGGCAGTAAGCATAGCGTGGTTTCCCAAACCAGTATGTTCTCTCCTACCCACAGAACCTTGCTTCGTCCCCCTGAGGACCAGATCCCCTTGTGCTGTGCACAGCTGGATCCTGGCTGGTGGGACCCACCTGGTTTCTAGGTGCTCGCCAGGTGTCTGTCTCTCTGTCTGCCTCAGCCCCCTCCACTCTGAGCAAAGACATGTTCATCAAACTCCAGAGGAGCCACGAGTCTGAATAAACAGAGTGGCAACTGCTGATGTGGCTCCTGTGTAGCTGAGCCCCGAGGTGCCCCTGACCCAAGCCCTGGACTTTTCAATCGCTG